GAGACAGTTGTAAGCACTGTGTAACTGCCTCGAGGGTGCTTGACCACTTTGACACAACGTGGTGCGATCGTCCCCTTTGCGCAGAGTGAAGGTTCTCCACCCCGCACAACACGATCTACTCGACCATCATTATGGTTACCGCCAAAAAAAAAAAGAGGTGATAAAAAAACGGTATCCTGGTTGCCGAGCTCACGAAGTGAATGGCTTGTTTTACAACGTCGTCGCCAAGCGACAACCCACTCCCGATGGCAAACACCGGGGGGGGCGGCTTGTTTTACAACGTCCTTGCCAAGCGACGAAAACCCAACCCCGATGGCAAACACCGGGGGGGGACGCGCCGTGGGGGGGAAGGGAGAAAAGATAGACGCCAATCGCAAGGGGAGCGCGTCGCATCTCAGGTACACAACTTTCGAGACAACAGAAAACGATGCAAGTCAGCAGAGCAACACTCAATTCATTGTATTTGAGAGTGCCTTGCGGCGTGTGCCAATGATCAGCCAAGTACGGAACAATGGAGGTGCCGTCGACGGCACACGCGAAAGGGATATTTGGATCATGATAAGACACGTCACGTTCACCGATGAGAGATGGGAGTCAGTGGCAAGTGCCCTCGCCGAACCGTCACAGTACCTACACCGGTCGCCCCGGTGATCTGGTGGGTAGCCTCGCAGCCTGCTAAGGGCCAGGTCATGGGTTCGAGTCCCGACAGAGAGAGTTTTTCTCTCACTATATAAATCCTGGTCTAGGATGAAAGCGACGCGCTGCAAAGCTCGTTTGTTAGTAAAACATAATCGACTTCGGTCGCGAGGGAAGGGATTGCTGTACCCTTCTCGCGATAAAAATACCTCAGGCATGAACCGCGGGAGAGGGTCCAACCCCCCCCTCCTACGCGACCCCGGTTGGGTCGTCTAGCTAGTGGAAGTGGAGGATAGGGGCCAGAGGGTCAGACGACAGAGTCCAATGATGGGAGAAAAACAACAACAAGTACCTAACGACGGCACATGACAAAAGGGTGTGTGCTACAATACTGCCGAATTAGGTTGTGCTGGAGAAACAAATCTGCTTGCTTCACCGCAACCCCCGCGGGGGGAGAAGCAGTATAACGAGCTACCTGGGTATCAGAGCTTACGACAGATTGGATGCTGTGGCTGCTTCCGATGCCTGGCTCGGTTGTTAACAGAAAATACACTCCGATGCTGCTGCTGCTTTGTCTGTATACGCGGGGCAACCGCCCTGTCGTTGTCGTAATGTGTGTGGGGCGGGTAGAGGCGGGTGTACGCAAGCAATGATCGATGTGTTTTATGGACGAGAGTTGTTCTCAAAAGGTTAGGGTGCACACACTCGCCGCCGCACACGCAAAGCTCTCAATCAACTTCGTTCCCGCGAGCAAAAGGAGCATAACCGTCTTTTGGTTTGTTCCTGCTCGGTGGCTCTCCACCCCTGCCTTTACACGATAGACACATTTGCACGCATCCAAGGCCGCAGAAGATAGAAGACCATGGCGGGCGGGGATCACTTAGAAAGCGCTGCCACCACAGAACTTCGAGAAGTTGAGACTCCCGAAACGCCGAAAAAACAACAATGCGCGTGTTCGCTGTTTGCAAAGCACGTTCACGACGAGGGAGCCGGCTGAAAAGGTCATCATCTTCCCGCAATGTCGGTCGGGAGCACGCACGGGGCTGGAAAACGCGTTGCATGCCCGCCATCTAGAGGTGCTCTCCAGAGGTAAAAAGTTCTGGCCTGTCCAAACGGCACACAGCAACAGTCTAAAAGCTCGCCAGCGTACAAATGGCCAGAACATTCGCTTACGTTGTGCGCTGCCGGCACAACGACTAGGGCGACTACGACGCCACTGTGCAACCAGATTCCTCCTTTGGCAACCGCTGCACGCCACCAATTGCGTCCTTGTGCAGTCTGTTCCTCACCTCGGTGAAATGGTGGCAGTGAGATGGGCTGATGATGTTCACGCAACAAGAGAGGCCAGAAACGGACGACGCGATGATGACGCGAAGTTTCTCTTCGGAGGGGCGACGGAGACAGAGAAAGAACAAATGAGGGAGTGTGCATAGTTTCGCGGAGCCCCTACGGCGATGTGACAGCAGTTCCGCCGCACATCACGCCGGCTGCGGCTGCTACATAGATAGTGGTGGCATTCCTGTGTGCTCTACTGCTCTCGGCTGCTTAGCGAGTAGGGATCATCATGGCCGACGGAAAAATCGATAGAACCAAGGTGCGTTAATTTATTCGAATCAAGTTGATGTACTGCTGTGCCGACCCACACACTGGGCGATCCATGATCCTGCCCTTTGCGCTGCAGCAGTGCTTTCCCGCTCCCTCAGCGCGGCTAGCGAGGCCTCGTACAAACTTTGGCCCAACCAAGATGTCCACCCGTCTGTTGACCCCTTGGAGAGTATATGTTCAACAACACTGTCTTTTGTCCCGACCTGCACGGAAAAATTTCACTTTCATCGCACCAGCGGCAGCAAATGGTGGTGAACAGCAGTAGGCAGTGAAAGCCGGACCGTACCTGCTACGTTAGCTGTAATGCCGTCTAGACTACATATGTAAGAGGATTTGCACTGTGATGTGTCAGGTACTGGAAGGGGCAGAAGCACTGCTGTCGACGGTAGCGAGAGGCGAGGTGGGGAGACGTGTGTCGCCGAGCGCTCAGCCCGAGTATAAGTAGACCCAATAACCCTCAAAACAACGCTTGTCCCTCTTGAAGGATGTGCCTCGGACATTGCGTGCGGCATACCGACAGCAGCAGTTCCCGCGCGGTAGCTGCTGTAGGCTTTGTGCACCGCATAAGAAGCTGCAGGCTATGCACCGCGTGGCTGTGGCCGATACAACGGTCCACCCCGATTGTCTGTCAGCGACTGCTGCGAGTACTTGTCCTCTTGCTGCACTCTGAGTGGAAGAATCTCGGACACCGGTGCTGCAGCAGCGGTATCCCGCAAACCACGCAGTCATCGGTTCATCCAACTAAGTGATCTGAACATTCTTTGTTTTTCTCCCATCATTGGACTCTGTCGTCTGCCCCTCTGGCCCCTGTCCTCCACTTCTACCAGCTAGACGACCCAACCGGGGTCAAATAGGAGAGGGGGGTTGGACCCCCTCCTGCGGTCCCTGCTGCCTGAGATATTTTTATCGCGAGAAGGGTACAGCAAGCCCTTCCCTTGCGACTTATGAAGTCGATCAAGTTTACTAACAACGAGCTTTGCAGCGCGTCGCTTCCAACGGAGACCAGGATTTATTTAGCGAGAAAAAACTCACTCTGTCGGAACTCGAACCCATGACCTGGCCCTTTGCAGGCTGCGAGGCTACCCACTAGTACACCGGGGCGACCGGTAGTGTATATGTAGGTTATCGAATTCGGGGTAGGGACTGATTCCGCATGGCGCCACTACGGCAGGCCGGGCTACCATGAACGATAACAGGTGCCCACTTTCAACGAATCAACATTTCCACGTGCCAACCGGCAACTCTTAACCAGTGATGCGTCCAAACCCGGCTGTTCGGTCCGATCGCGCGTGCGCGTTCCGCGCGTTGAACGCGAACACAGGTGTGCCCGCTGCTGCTGCGGTGTTTCTGGACGCAGAACCGACACGGGCGAGGGGAAGACTACTCCAACGTCAACAGCCTACCGCGAGACGAGCTGCAGATTTACACCTGGTACAGTGGCTCGCATCGCTCCTTGATAGGCAACTTGATAGCATTGCCGGAGAGCATCTCTCTATCGGTGTCGGTACCGCGGTCGCCTTGGTTGCTTGTGTTGTCGCTCCCTACCCAAACAGTCGAACCCTGTGCTGGGCATGTATTAGCGTTGTCACGTCCGCGCGCACGGCACACCCCTGCCTCTCACGACACCGTCGTTCGCCCCCTACCCCGCCCGGTCGGCCCCCACCTAACCCCTAAAGGCCCGATGCAACTGTTCGGGAGATCACCACCTTGATCCAGGGCGTTGTTCCGGCGGCGAGGCGGCGCCAGGGCCGATTGTCATACGCCTTCGTCTACCCGGACAGCCAGGGGAAGCAAGTGCTCCGGCAGGTAAAAAAAACGGGATTGTTGGGTTACTTTGTGCCAGGGAGTGGCCGGTCGCGCTGGGCTTGGTGCCTGCACGTATTCGATGGTATGTGGGGTAGAGGTCGGGCCTGCGTGTGTTTCTTGGACTACGGCAGGAGCGTCGACCAATACTGGCCAGTTGAAGGTCGAAAATGCGTCAGTTTTGGCGGGAAGAACTCAATACTCTCTAGTCCTTAGGATCCTCTAAAGGGGGCCCGCGGAGGAGGCCCGAAGGGAGGGCCTACCTAAGTATGTTCCTATTCTTTGTGGAAGATAGGGGTGTACATGACTGGTAACGGAATTCTTCGTTTTCCGTTGTCACCGCTGGTTGTTGTCGACGAGGTAGGGATTACTAAACCAATATCCTTGGCGCAATCATGTAATACCCTTTTATTGTCGTAGGCGCAGAGAAGTGCGGAAAGGGGCAGCGCGCCGGGGTGGGTGCAGCATCTCCTCCGACCGCGTTTGTGCAGGGCTGCTTGCCGTCTTAGTTCGATGTACCCGCCGGCCTTTTCTACTTGAGGAATCATCATCAGTCTACTTGAAACTTTCCGTATGTATCAAGCCCCGTTTTACTGTTGGCAGCCCCTTACCGGTTTGTGATCTCGGTGGCGTTGCCTTCGCGTGTTCCATAGTCCCTCCACCGGTTCTCATTCACCCCCGCCGCCCCTCCTGGGAAATGTTCCTGTTACCTTTTCTTGGAAAGGTGGCGAGTGTCTTCTCGGTAAAACCAGGTCAGGACGACAACAAGACGCTACGCGACCTCAAGTTCCAAACGGGAGACTACATGGAGGTTGCGATCGGTTAGGTTAGCGGTCCTCGAGGGGTGTAGCTGGCACCAACCCTGACCGTGCACGGGGCGGGGCGGCGGGGGCACCTACCCACGTGCCAAGTGTGTAAGACCTGGTGTGCGTTTGGATCCTTGCAAATGAGTGCCACCCGCAGTCGAAGTAGTATTAAATTTCACGTACGTTGTTGCTGGTGGTGCTGGCTTTTGTTTCGGGAGGGGGAGGAGGAGACCATTTCGTGCCGTGGATGCCCAGGGCATCGTGAGACAAGTGCATGTCTTGGTGGGATGTCTCGCGATGACTGGAAAGCGTTCCACGCCTGCTTTGTGCCCCCTCTTTCGAGTCCGGCCAAGTTGCGCCCCTCACTCAGGATGTTCGGAAAGAAGCGTTGCGAGTTGTGGTCGTCTGCAAAAGTCTCCTTGGAAAACGCATCACGTCGTTTACCGCACCCCGTACGCTCAAGTAGCCGAAGTGACGACTCGCCCGCACAACGATAAGTGATGGATTTTTTGGGGCGTGGTGAGTGACGTCAGGACGACAAGTGAAGGGTTTTTGGGGGGTGGGGGGGGGAGTGTGTGATCCATCTCTACGCTTCCCACCACCACAACATGCATGCCAGAGGCGTAAAGCATTGTCAGGAAGAGGATGCACACCAACAAGAACACCTACACGGGATGGACCTTCCCCCAGCATCGACCACACCTACCTACCTCAAGCTTTATTTGCCGAATAGATGCAACACCACAAGAACCGTTCCGCGTTCTTCGGGCTGTCCCCTTCACCCCGCATTCCACCACTGTGTGCTTGGTGGGAAGGTTCTTGGGTTGTCTCTGATTGTGGTTCCGGCAGCGAATTTCTCTGGCGCACAGATTCGCTTGTTGGCGGCACTTCGATGACGGCGGAGTCTGTCCGTAGCCTGCTAGGGGCTGCCACCAACTATTTTGGGTTGCTGTGATGGCGAATAGGCAAGTCGGGCATCCACAGAAGCAGTTTTACACCCGAAACGTGGACCAAAACATGCGTCAAATCCACGCTCTTCGACCAGAAAAGAGGGTCGGCGGCAAAGAATTCCGAGTCTAGCCGCGATTGTTGATCGCCATGAGCAGCCCGCCTTTGGCCTCGTGGTAGACAAGCCTTCCGCGCAGGTAACTGTGCGAAGGCCCCAAGCACGCGGCAACAATCGATGTTAGGAGAGACGCAAACAACGGAGATCTTAGATGTTTGTTTAGGTTCGGTACATGAGGGTCAAGGGGGGACAAGAGATATCGCAATATGCTGCCCGCGGAACCGTGGAACCACAAGGTGATCATCACACAACACTCATGAATAAATTGCTAATCCATCCCGAACTCTTTCCTGTGGTAGGTGCATTCTTTGTTGTGTTTCTATAAGGAAAACAACAAAAAAAACGGCGGCGTGCCCCCCCCCCCCCCCCCCCCCCCCCCCCCCC